CCCCAAAACCCCAAAACCCCAAAACCCCGTCGAGAAAATTAGATATGGACTATAAGAGAAATAAATAAATAATGAATTTAAGTTTAATTTGAATGAAGCTATAGATATTAGTTAAGAATCTAATTGAAACTATAAAAATAAATATTAATGATTTCACTATTTTACAATGATTGCTAATTTATAAATGTAGAATGTAGTATGTAATTATTTAAAAATAAAGTTAACGATTTAATATTAATTCTCAAACGAGTTCACAAGTCTCACAAGTCAAGAATGCAAATTGATGATCACCTTCACCAACGATAGCTAGAGAAAAGATACCATTTTGCATATCCTCTCCAGATATTCCAAAATTAGCTGGCTACAATTTTTCCAATCCCTCATTTTGTTAAGGTTCTTATAGAACCTTTTTTACAATAATACAGTTATGATCTTAGACTTAAAGAGTAGACAATTCTCCTTAAGCAATGAAACTTTAAATATTTTATTCATTCCTAAAATTAAATTATTCTAATCTAGCAAATTTTAAAGACTCCTCTTATTGATTATAAGTTTTTATTCCTTTTTCTGAATCTTCAATGTTTTTGAAAGATAAAACTTTTACGTTTTATTGTATTTTCTATTCAAACATCTGAACTCTTATATTAGCCAAATAAAAGATTTAATTTTCTGTGATATTTCCTGCATTAGTTTTAAGTTGATCAGGATAAATATTTCCAGTTAAAATTTCCTTATCCCATATGCCCAGATAGGGATATTATTTCTTAAATTCTTTTAATGTTTAAGTAACTTCATCATCTACCTTTATTTAAAATTTCCATTGAGCAATGTTAAAAAAATAAGTTAAAATACAAATCCAATCATAATCAGGGTTCCAAAAAGACAAAGCATTTAAAGCAAAACAAAAAATGTTTATTGCAACTATTACAACTCCATTTAAATAGTATCCATAATAAATAAGTTGAATACCGGTAAAGATACAAACACAAAAAAATATACTAAAAATAAGTTTTGACATTCCGGAATATATCTTCTCAATATTTTTACCAGCTTCGCAAAATTTTGATAATATATAAACAGTTGAATGTATCAACCCTTAACCTGTGCAGACTAATATGGAAACTGTTTACCAATTCCAAGTAGATATTTAGCATTCAAAATGAATAAAGCTTATTATAATTAATCTCCTAACGATAGTGATTAGGTTTTGAACAAATATATTTTCAAAACTTTCATTCCATGATATCACTTCATAAATTTTACTAAAGAAATTACAGACATACTTTATAGCAATATAACACAGTCTATACGTTTTTTAGATATTTTTAACTATGTAATATTGATTATCATTTTAGCCTTAAAGATTTATTTCAAAATAATAATTGGGATCATTTTGCAGCTCTATCATTTTATTGCTAATGTCGTCAATAAAAGCTTATGATTACTCAGTTTACTTTGCAATTCTTCTTTGAAGACTATCTTCCAACAATGAAATATTAATTGAATTGATCACTAATATTTCACTAATAAAAGTGTCTATTTCTGATTGCTATGTTTTTAAAGCTATTGAACCTATCATTAAAGCTAATTATTAAATTTTATCTTTAAAATTTTCAGATTCCATTGAGGGTAATAATATATTATTTTATTTTTCTTTCAAATAGTTCAAAAATAATTACTATTGATTTGTATCTTAGTAATTGATTTCCAACTCTTCCCGATGTAAATCTTTATACTTTTATTTTAAATTTCTTCTATAGAGACAGGTTTAAAGCCAAATGTTGACTATTTTAGCTTTATTCCCTTCTAAGTATTATTTAATTCTCTAATTGATTCCAGAAACCTTTACTCTTTCTTACTTATTAATTTATTTATTAGATAGCTGTTAAATGCACATTATATCAGCTAATTTCGAAAAAAATTAAGCAGGAGTAAATGTTTAATTGTCTGAATTTGAAGGTTGACTATGATCTGTTAATTATTACTGCATAAAGCACTCTTGAATGATTTCTTCAGCGATATTAGAAACTTGATTAGATTTAGGTCCAAGATATTTCTTTGATTAATTCTCAGCACATAGAATCGTCATATCCTTAAAAATGGGGATTAAATCTTCTTATTTAGGGCTAAGTTCATTTCTTAAAAGAATTTATAGAAGTCTGCTATTGATATCCTTGCGATCCTCTGAATAATAATAAGCTAATTTTTTTTAAATTTAATTTTAATTATCTGTTATTTCGTATAATATATTTTAATCAAACATATCTTTGAAATCTATTGAGAGGAATTAGAATTTGGTATACACAAAAAGATTATCAAATAACTATTTAAATCCATCAGGTATATATTCTTTAGCTGGTTATCTTAATTTTAGATCATTTTTACAATTTTTAAATTATAAATAGAGCTCAGCAAAAAATATATACAAAGGTGAACATTTAGAATAATTGTGCTCAAGATTAATAAAGTTTTAATCATCTGGAAAGTTAATTTAAAGTATTTCTTTGGGCGTAATTATTTTACTTCTATCTTTGTATTAATCTTTTAGTTCTTTTTTCAAATTTTTATTGATAGAATAAACTTTTATTAATTTAGCACAGGATCTATCAAAGAAATCAGCTCCAAAAGTCTAGAAATCTTCCTTATATATTTTCATATCATTAAATTTTGATAATTGAGATGCAGAATACTTTGTGACATGTTAATGAACATATTAAAGAATTCTATAGCAATCTTATTTATTTGTGATATTTTCAACAAAAATTTTTCTATTAAAGTGAACTTCTTAAACTGTGAAAAATTTATGATCAAAGCATTAATTTGATGTTTCTTCAGAGATACGAAGTTTAGATCCAACAGACTATATACTTTCTATTTAGTCTATTTTTTAAATAATATGATTTCTTATGATGTCAATTAAGTTTTGAATTTATTAAGTATCTTCTATGGAAAATTGCAACTGTGGGATTTCTTGAGGTTAATGATAAAGATTCTTTAAAAAAAAAGTAAAATATACAATATAAAATTACATTTTTTAAATCATTTGAAACAACCTGTGAGGGCAAATGGAAAGATGGAAATGGTTCATCAAGCCTAACTTAAATGTTGAGAATTTATCGGGATAATTTTTCTAAAATATAAGTAAACTCTTAATTTTGAGGCAAATATTTAATTAAATCACTAAGATTTATGTCTTAGTGCTAGTCTTGTTGCTATTAGTTCATATCCATCTTAAAGGTTTAGTGATTTGAATGAAAAAATATTATAATTTTTTAAGAAATTTTGATTTAAATAACCCTTTTTAAATTATTATTGGTCAAAAATAAAATGGCAACATAAAAGAATTAAACTCAAATTAATCCCCCTGATAATCTTCAAGGTTATCATAAAATAAGGAATATATGAAATACTTTAAATGGAGAAGTCTGGCTTTATCAGAAAAATGGATAGTACTATGAAATTAAGTTTGAATACAATAATCTTTAAAGTACCTTATTGACAGAAAAAGTAATCTTGAAAACGATTCTTTAGAATTTAAATGGAAAACCTGTTAACATACAAAAACTATATCTCGATTCATGTTTCAAGGGAGGAAATGGAGTCCAGGTAAGTTACCTGGTATTAGATTATTGTGATTAGTCGCTTGAGTAGATTTATGCAGAAAATTACTGTTAAAATGATGAAAATAGGCTAATGTTAGTGACTCAAGCTATTAATTTATTGGAATAATTCCATAAATAAGCTTTTTATGTTCATCGTAATGTCAACCCTGATAGTTTCAAGGGTAAAGATGGTTAACTATTTCTTGTAGATTTCTCAAAGTCTAAAAATATCTAAGAATTAGTTATTTCAAATATATAACAAGTATCTAACATAACTAGCAATCCAATGACCATATCTGTCCATGTTCATAATTAATTACACTCTCTTTAGGGAGATGACATTATTTCTTGTCTTTACAGCATGCTTATACTCTTTGAAAGATAAGGACTTACGTGGTATGAAGAATGCTTTTAAATGTAAAACTAATTAACCATCTAATAACTAAGTTAAATCTAAGATAAAAAGAAAAACTTGAATGAATCAAATTTTTAAAGCTTATTGGCTAAAAGTATTGCGATAGAAATTAAGAGGCTTGAAGCTTTAAGGCTATAATCTATAGGTATGTACTCAACAGAGTTATAATACTCAAATATATCTATCAGAATCAAACAAGTGTTTGAAGAACTTTAAATTCAGTAGTAGATATTAGAAGAACAGTAATAGGTATAATTATAAGAATCGATATAGGTATATTTAGAAGAACAGTAATAAGCATTATTAGACTAATAGATTTCACAAATTTAAGAATTATTTGTTTAAAATGAGTTAGAAGCCATCATTAATGTTCAGAGAAATAACATAATATTTAATGATACTGGAAGGAATCGTTAAAATACATTAAAAAAAAGATTAATTATATTTTCTCTAACAGCAATATCTTTAGCTTTTTCTGCTGCAGCATATATTAAAAAATACAGATGATAAAATAAAAAGAAAGATAAAATTTTATTAGTCAAGTTTTTGAGAGGTCATTCTATTTTAAAAAATAAACCAGATTATTAAAGATCTTTCTTTATTATGATTTTTATGAAAATTATCTTAATTTACTATTATGCAATTATTGTATCATTATACTTTCTCTCGGGGTTTTGGGGTTTTGGGGTTTTGGGG